CTACTAAAAAAGACTGGACATACCCCATTTGCAATACCTTGGGTTGTCTACTATTGCAAATGGTATGCCATTATGGGTGTAAATTTCTTTCCTGGGCTACTATAAAGTCCCAAAGGCAACGTAACCAATCTGGCGAATTTCAATTTCAAATGTAACGTGCTATATTTGACCCTGTAACTTCCCAAAAACGCCATAAAACCTGTACATAGGGGGTACTGTTTTACACGTGAGACTTTGCTGAATACAAATATGTGTATTTTATTGCAGTAAAAGCAAACAGTATTATGACACTGACCGTTAAAATGTCATGTAGAACTAAAAAAATCCAAAAAATCGTATTTTCTCCCATTTTTTTCATATTAAATTATGTTTCATAGCTAAATATTTGATATTAAATGAAAGCCCTGTTTCCCCTGAATAAAATGATATATAATAAGGGTGGGTGCATTTACTATGAAAGAGGTGAATTACGGTTGGACAGACATGTAGCGCAAATGCCAGGTTTTGTTTACATTTTGTTTTGTTCACAGCGTGTACATTTGGTCTGGCTCTTATGTTGCAAAACCATACATTTATAAAAACATTAGCAGGTGTTCAAAAGGCCCTGTCTATGACATCACTTGCTGCTGCAGCTTGACACAGGTCAGAGTATTTTGGTGGTTGCCATCTTCAAACGGTCGTATCTTAAAAACTATAACCCCTACAGTGAAGAGCTTTATATTGTGAGAATCACAAGACCCAGACCTACATTTTGATGCATAGTATGTCTCTGAAGTATTAAAATTGAAGGCACAGTCGCAGTTTAGAAATTGCACTTCAAATTTGAGCTTTGCAGAGTGAAGTTTCAATGAATGTCAATGGACGGCGTTGGTTGCAAACAAATGGTCATATTGTGAAAACTATCAGGACTACGGCTTAGCCGTTGACATGTTTAGTTGCAGCAGGGATAGCTGAACGTTTTGATATAATATTTGTGTAGGTGGGCCTGAAAATAAGGGAGTGGTGGCAGTTTAGAAATCATGTCCTGATTTTTCAGCTTTTGCCAGCTCCCACTCTAGCTTTGCCATTCATTCCTATGGGACAAATTTCGCCACAAGAACGACGATATTCCGTGAACCATTCGGCGAAACGCTCCACAAAGTAATAGCAATCCGATCGGGAACAATCTGCACGTTTTGGTAAATTTTTGTCTATGTAGTGTAAAAACTGTGGGAGGAGTTAGGGTGGCAAATTTTGCTATAATAAGAATAATAATAACTAGAAAAGTTACAATTTCTGGGAAATTGTGTGAAGTGTTCTTGCCTCCACCTGTAGTCTACAACTGGAGTGGGCGGAGTAACTATCATTTATATAGCACATTTAATTGCAACGTTGTTGCACAGTTACATTAAACCATACATTTATAAAAACATTAGCAGGTGTTCAAAAGGCCCTGTCTATGACAACACTTGCTGCTGCAGCTTGACACAGGTCAGAGTATTTTGGTGGTTGCCATCTTCAAACGGTCGTATCTTAAAAACTATAACTCCTACAGTGAAGAGCTTTATATTGTGAGAATCACAAGACCCAGACCTACATTTTGATGCATAGTATGTCTCTGAAGTATTAAAAATGAAGGCACAGTCGCAGTTTAGAAATTGCACTTCAAATTTGAGCTTTGTAGAGGGAAGTTTCAATGAAAGTCAATGGACGGCGTTAGTTGCAAACAAATGATTATATTGTGAAAAATATCAGGACTACGGCTTAGCCGTTGACATGTTTAGTGGCAGCAGGGATAGCTGAACGTTCTGATATAAGATTTGTGTAGGTGGGCCTGAAAATAAGGGAGTGGTGGCAGTTTAGAAATCATGTCCTGATTTTTCAGCTTTTGCCAGCTCCCACTCTAGCTTTGCCATTCATTCCTATGGGACAAATTTCGCCACAAGAACGACGATATTCCGCGAACCATTCGGCGAAACGTTCCACAAAGTAATAGCAATCCGATCGGGAACAATCTGCACGTTTTGGTAAATTTTTGTCTATGTAGTGTAAAAACTGTGGGAGGAGTTAGGGTGGCAAATTTTGCTATAATAATAATAATAATAATATATATGTGAGATAACATTAAGTGGTCTTGCTATGCAAGAACACTTAATACTAGAAAAGCTACAATTTCTGGGGAAATTGTGTGAAGTGTTCTTGCCTCCACCAGTAGTCTACAACTGGAGTGGGCGGAGTAACTGTTATCATTTATATAGCACATTTAATTGCAACGTTGTTGCACAGTTACATTAACCCCTTAAGGACGGAGCCAAATGTACACATTGTGAACAAAACAAAATGTAAACAAAACCTGGCATTTGCGCTACATGTCTGTCCAACCGTAATTCACCTCTTTCATAGTAAATGCACCTTATTATATATCATTTTATTCAGGGGAAACAGGGCTTTCATTTAATATCAAATATTTAGCTATGAAACATAATTTAATATGAAAAAAATGGGAGAAAATACGATTTTTTAAAATTTCTTTAGTTCTACATGACATTTTAACGATCAATGTCATAATACTGTTTGCTTTTACTGCAATAAAATACACATATTTATATTCAGTAAAGTCTCACGTGTAAGACAGTACCCCCTATGTACAGGTTTTATGGCGTTTTGGGAAGTTACAGGGTCAAATATAGCACGTTACATTTGAAATTGAAATTTGCCAGATTGGTTACATTGCCTTTGAGACTGTATAGTAGCCTGGGAATGAAATTTACACCCATAATGGCATACCATTTGCAATAGTAGACAACCCAAGGTATTGCAAATGGGGTATGTCCAGTCTTTTTTAGTAGCCATTTGGTCACAAACACTGGCCAAAGTTAGCGTTAGTATTTGTTTGTGTGTGAAAAATGCAAAAAACGCCAATTTTTGCCAGTGTTTGTGACTAAGTGGCTACTAAAAAAGACTGGACATACCCTGTTTGCAATACCTTGGGTTGTCTACTATTGCAAATGGTATGCCATCATAGGGTTAATTTTCATTCTTGGGCTACCATAGGGTCTAAAAGGCAACGTAACTAATCTGGCGAATTTTAATGTGAAAAAAATGAAACACAAGCCTTATATTTGACGCTGTAACTTTTGAAAACACCATAAAACCTGTACATGAGGGGTACTGTTGTACTCGGGAGACTTCGCTGAACACAAATATGTGTGTTTCAAAACAGTAAAAAGTATCACAGCAATAATATTGTCCGTGTAATGCTGTTTGTGCGTGAAAAATGCAAAAAACTTCACTTTTACTGGCGATATCATCGTTGTAATACATTTTACTGTTTTGAAACACTAATATTTGTGGTCAGCGAAGACTCCCGAGTAGAACAGTACCCCCATGTACAGGTTTTATGGTGTCTTGGAAAGTTATAGGGTTAAATATAGTGCTAGCAAATTAAATTCCCTTTACTTTCGGCATGGGTTGTCAGGCAGGTCCCGCTAATTGTAATTAATTAAGATACCTAATTATGTAAAATATTACATAAATATATATGTAGAATTAATATATGTATGAATATATGTATGTGTATATATGTATATATGTATATATATATATATATATGTATGTGTGTATATATCTATATAATTTTTTTTAAATATTTTTATTTATATATAGGTATATATATAGTGATATATACGTATATATTTATGTATATAGATATATATATTTCGTTCTACGTGTATTTTGAGATATATATATATATATTAATTTCACAAAACCGTTAGAACGAAATAACACACATCTATATATTTTTTAATTATTTATTTTTAATTTTATTTTTTAACGTATTTATATTTTTATTTTTTTTATATTATATATATTTAATCAGTATCAGTCTACGTGTAATTTGATATATATATATATATATATATATATATATATATTTATATTAATAGTAAAATACACCTAGACGGTGTATGTGTATATATATACTTAGATCATATGTATATAATATATACATATGATCTAAGTATATATTATTTATTTTTTACACTGATTAACTTTTTTTAATTTTATTTTCAGCCAGCAGGGGGACCACCTGTCATTACAGGCAGCCCCCCTGCACAGCAATATCTAAACCAACTATCCCGGCCATGTGATTGTGGGGTCCTGTAGGACACTCTCCTCGGCGTGGCTCATTTGGCACGAGGAGACGGTGCGGGGGCTCCTGAGGTCCCCCAATCGCCCAGTGGGACGCGGCGACGGGTGGATTAGCGCTCAAAAACCGGAGGGCGTACAATTACGCCCGGCGGCGTTTAGAGCCGCCTATTAGAGGGCGTAATTGTACGTCCTCCGGTTTTAAGGGGTTAAATATGAGCCCAGGACCCATTGTGAGATAAAGTTTGAAAAACATAATTTTATTTAATTTCTTTCTTTTGAGGCAATTAATTTACATCACATAGTATTTTAGACACTTGTATATCAAATCTTAGATGGAATTGACCAAATCGTAGATGGAATTGACTAAATCAGTTGAAATTATTTCAGCTGTTGCTGTTTGGGTGCCAACCCCCCCCCCCCTTTCCCCCCCCAAAAAAACAGTAATTTCTGAACATATAATTTTTGGGGGGAGGCAACATATTTATCAATTTTTCTCCACTTTGTCCAACAAGGGTTCTATTTCTCTTTTTTCTCACCGTTTTAAATTTGGATGTCCTCTAGAACTCCTGCCAAAACTGGCAAACATTACATAAAACAGTCACATTTCAATCACTTTTAGAACACTTTAATAAATACAATCAAAATGATTGAACTTAACAGTCTGATTTCAGAAGACTTTGATAAATAATATCTCGCTGTGTGGGAAAGGGGACTGCACTCCTCTTTCCTGTTTAATAGGACGGCCCCAGTGACGCCTTCACTGAAAAATGCCCATATTTCACTGCAGACAAAGTAGCACAACTACACATTCTTTATCTTAGTTTTAGAACAGATCAAGTGGCAATGTGGTATATTCTGTGTGAAAAGTCACAACTATGGGATTTTTGTTCTTCAATGCTATGCTAACAGCTTTTTTTTCTCTCCCTTCTAGGCAAAGGTGGATAATTCCAGCCTTGTTGGTGTAGGATACACCCAAACCCTCAGGCCAGGTAAGTGCTTTTGGTGTAAGTCATAACCTGTTTGAGAAGCAGCTATGTGTGCAGCAGAACAGTAGCATTCACTTGAGCATATCTATCTGTATCTGGCCCATTATCCTCACACTGTTAGTCAATAACTTAATAAAATTAGCCTTGTTTGGTAGTTCCAGTTCGCCTGATGTCGACCAGGGGAACTGCATCTAAACCATATTCCTCTGTTGACCTGTCCCCTTTGCCTTTTAACATCATTTGGCTCCTGAGATTGCAGCTGCATAAGTACATGGCTGATCAGATAGTCAATCCTATCTGCTTTGTCAGGCTTAACTCTATTTCCTACAGATACCATCACATCCACAGACTATAGCAGCTGCTGGGGTTGTGCTTTATTGTAGCAACAGATTGACTGATGATTGAGAGGAAGCTCATCTTATCCCCTGCAGTGCCTTGTAGTACCTGAACCTTTTTTTTTCTTTTTTTTCCTTGAACAATCAAACTAATTGATAAGTATTCTGCTGAATTCTTTTTATGAACACAACTTTTTGGTTGGGTATAACGGAAAGATATGAACATAAAGGACTAATCGTGTCCTGTTAAAAGCATCCCAATACAATGCAGAATGTGTTCTGATTCTGTGCTAAGTAAGCTGCAGTTTCTGCTATTTCCAAACTAATCTCCCTTCAGGAATGACAGCTATCTGGAAATATCAGATCCTTTCTGCTGACTTCCAGTTATTCATGAATACAGTCAATCAATCTCAAAGGAATTTTATCAACCAGAAGAACAGAGACAAATTAAATTGGAATTTTGTGAATAGACCCCTCTGTGTCTTCACGATTTTAAAATGGCATTCTCTGCTATTTGTTCAAGCTGAATGGACTGCTGCAGTCCATACGGTTTAAGAGGAAATAAATGACTTTTACTGACTGAGCCTCTTACTGGTCTGTAGAGCGCTCACCATAAACTAAAGCCTGGGCTTTCATAGCAGATACATTAACTTTAAAACAGCAATGCATCTTTTAATGCAGTACAAAACATACTTCCACTCCATAGAACAGTAGGATAATGTCATGTTTAGATAGTGTGTGTGTATATATAGTTTTACTCTGCATCTCTTTCAGTTTCCATGTTTTGTTCTTGGTCACAATCCTGGATTTCTCAATAATTAAAAACACGCACATAGTGTTGCATATATTTGATTTTTATTTTTTTTAAACTATTATACAATAGTGGAATGTGTTTTAAAATTCCAAAGAAGCAGATGCCACAGATTGACCAATATCATTCTTCTTCTCTCTATTTAGGAGTGAAACTCACTCTCGCCGCCTTGGTAGACGGAAAGAACATAAATGCTGGAGGACACAAACTTGGCCTGGGTCTAGAATTGGAGGCTTAAGTGTCCATTTGTTCTGTCTGAAATTAGCGCCAAGGGATATCCAGGAAAATTGGCCTTACCTATATATTTTGTTTCTAGAACCAGAACCAGCAAAACTTATATATATGTACCCCCCTCTTTTCTTTCCCACCCTTACGAATTGTCATCATAGGAAAGGAGCTGTATGGAGGTAGATATCCCATCCGATCTGGATGAGCCTAGTTATTCCTCCTGGTTGGGATCCTACCATGAAGCACTCCCTTACACATTTATTAATGTGTACAACTCATATTTAGTAGTGCTTCCCACCACAGATGAAATAAAACTCTCCTATTAAAAACACAAATGTACATGTTTTGCATGTCTGTTTTTTATGTTCCTTTTAACATTTGAAAATGCCAACTCTGAAGCAAGCAACAAACGTAGGTCTCTTCAGCCAGAGGGACTGACGTTTTGTAGAAGTCAACTTTATTTTGTGAGGGTTTTTGATATCCCTAAAAGTGAGAATTATGAATAAAAACAAAAACCAACATGTGATTTGTGCCCTTCTCATTTTTGCTAATGTACATGTGTTTTACAAAAAAAATAGGTTGGGGTTTGCAAATGGCAAGCTTTAACTACCCTTTTAGAAAGGTATTATTTATATGAAATTAAACAGATTCTGTACTACTGGATACACAGTACAAGGTTTGACTACAGATTTAAGGAGGTCTGCCCTGCCTGCACGTTTAAGAACATGGTATTTATGGAGCACACAAAACTTGCACCTTTAAAGGGAGACTATAGGCACCCAGATCACTTGTTGTCCCACTTAGTACTGCAATGTAATTATTGCAGTTTCTTAAAGGCAGTTTCTAGTGGGTGCCAATCATAGCGCTAGGGATGAGGGAAGTATAATGCTAGGAATACCGACGTGTATTCCTAGCACTATAGTATCCATTTAACCACTAAAGTAGGCTTCCTCAAACTCCGGCTCTCCAGATGTTGCTGAACTATAACTCCCATGATTCTATGAATGAAATAGGCTGAGCATCATGGGAGTTGTAGTTCAGCAACATCTGGGGGGCCAGAGTTTGAGGAGGCCTGCACTAAAGCTTAGTGCAGGGGTTTGTAACCCAGCAATCTAAGAGCAAAGGAGCCTGTGTTCTGCACACACAGAGTAGGCTGACACTACAATCCAGTACTAGTAGTAAGTCAGAGCACTGCTGCAGGTTAATATGGCAATGGATAACCTGTCATGTTACCACCTATGGAGGATGCACTATAGACAGTTCCACCATTGGCACAACCGGTATTATAACAAACTCCTGCTCTCTTTCCAAAAGTTAGGAAAGAGGGAGGATGAAAGCAAAAGATGATGTTCTACAAGTTTAGTAAATACCCCCTCCCATCCCAATAGACATAATTCAGTCATCGCAACACCACCACACACCCAATACTACAAGCAACCCATAAACAACAACGCCCATTCTTACACCTAGATAAAAACCAGACATTTCACACCCATACATAAAATGTGGAAGCCACAGCTTGAGAGAAATCTCCCAGTACAGAGAGCACTTTGCTGATGTCAGTAGAGGGAATTCCTCTGAGTTATAGGTAGGATTGAGGTCGGTGTTGGGTTCAGGAATAGCACCAACATTTAATGCTGTTCACTATGGTAACACGAATACTGTCCCTAGGAAATCTAGGCATGCTCAGCACACTTCTTTAGGGGGTGCACCCAGTTATGCAGCTTAATGGATGGTCTCTAATCAGAGCTGGACTAATGGTGCCCAGGGCCCCAGCCTGTTTCATGTGGTTACTGTGTCTGAAGATGGCTATCTTCGGTGAGTATGACCGAGTATCTCCCCTCCCCAAAGGGTTTGTCCAGTGGGATTGCTGCTGCAGCCACATGCCTCCTGGTCAGGCACTCTGACATCAGAGCACAGGCACTGGTTTCCCTGCCTGCACTTAGACTCCCTCACAGAGCGCCGGAACCACAAAGGAGTATGGCTGTACTAGAGCCCACCAGGGAACGAGTTTTAAAGAAGGGGAGATCCTTTTGATCTAAATGCCCGCTTGTACTGAAGCCGGACTTTGGCTTTATTAGGGTGAGCCTGGGTACACCCAGCACAACCTGTGCATATGCCAATGCTAGGAAGTAAAAATAGACATTCACTAGTGTGGAAATAGCTCTGTTATTTAACCACAGTTGGTGATGAAATATGGGTAAAATCAAGAGTCAAAGGATTCTCCAGTGCCAGGAAAACAGTTTTCCTGGTACTGCAGGACCTTCTAGTGCCACTCTCCCTACCACCCCCCATCCCAAGTTGCTGAAGGAGTTAAAACCCCTTCAGTGACTTTCTAGAGTCCAGTGCCAATGTCCTTCAGAGCTGGGCCAGGCTCCGCCTAAGCTCCTCCCCTGCTGACATCAGAAGTCGGGGAGACTTAAGGGGCGGGCGGGCGCGCATTAGACCTCCCCATAGGAAAGCCTTATACAATGCTTTCCTATGGGTATTTCGGCAACGCTGGAGGTCCTTACATAGCGTGAGGTCGTCCAGCGTAGTTTTAAAACTGTTTTTGTGTTCTATGAACACGGATGTCTCCTCTAGTGGCTGTCTAGTAGACAGTCACTAGAGGAGGACTTAACCCTGCAATGTAGATATTGTAGTTTATGAAAACTGCAATAATAACACTTGCAGGGTTAAGGGTAGTGGGAGTTGGCACCCAGACCACTCCAATGGGCAGAAGTGGTCTGGGTGCCTGGAGTGTCCCTTTAATACCCAGGTGAATCTACTATCTACAAATATATACTGTTGTGCAAAGAATTTGGATTCTGCAAAATCTGGTATACTGAGTACAGTTTTAATTGCAGTCACAGGTTTATCTTTAAAACCACAATTCACTCTTTGCAGTATTTGTTTTACTATCATAAAAAAAAAATTGTATAAATTTAATTTTAACAGGCATTATTCACATACAGAAACATAACACTTTCTCAAAGAGACTTTTTTGTTGTTGACAAAGATGTCCTATATTGCTTGCAACTCACACCCAGAATAATATCCATTAATTAAAACCGTGACTACTAAAATCTGCAATATACTAAATTAAATTACTCTGAGCAGCTGTGAAAATCCAAAAAGTATACACAAAACAACTTTATTAGACGCTCACAACTACTTAAATCTGTTCTCACATTGAGTGCTACATTGGACACGTTTGGTTTCGACAGTAGTATTTTACATAAACTATAAGACTCTACTAGAGTCCGTTTATGATATTTTGATTGAAACAAGCTGGATTTGCCCCGACCTTTTTACCATGAAAGTGTCCAAAATAGCAGCAGCTAAAAAAACAAAATGGCCCTCTATCATATGATATTGGGTGCATGGCCATACAGCCTGAACACGTACCATAATCCCTGATGTCAGTGTAAAGACAATTATTCACAGTCACGACTTCTGGAAAGGCATCCTTTAACAGTTGTATTATTTAGGCTGAATAAAAGCTAAAATGGTATATATATTAATTTACCGTGTTGGTGGAGGTTTTTTTTTTTTTTTTTCCTTCTCTAGATTTTCAGAAGCTTTGAAATAATAAAGTCAATGGTTGGATTAAAACTGGACTTTGAACATTTCTGTTTCATAGTGATATAGTCCAGATTACCCGTGCAGGGGTATTGTTAACATAAGTAAAGTACATTTAGAATGGAAAGCCAAAATAGCCAGACTGGAGACCGTTTTCAAGTCAGCGATACTTCCAGTTCCGTTTCTGTGGCCTGGCAAATCTCACCGGACTAGATAACCTTTATAAAGTGTTATGGTTGAATACGAAAACTTGCTGAATCTACCCTCTGGTTCACAGCTGCCTCTAGTGAAACTAACGTTGGACAATGTGTTGCTTTCTACTATTCGAGTTTCTGATATTGCTAACAGAACTGAATGTGCAGCAAGACTGTCTGAAATCCGGTATAATCACAGGAGGTATAGTTAGGAGAGTCACTTTTTTTGGTTTTTGGCTTTCCAGTGTCCTACAATGGTCTAACATGCAAATTGAACCCTGGGAATACTGCTAGATAATAGAATGCACAGAACTTAAATAGCAATTAAGTCTTACCTGGTTTAGGGTCTATGTTCCTTTTTCGCTAGAACTGTAATAAACATGAATGGGGAGATGCCTTTATTCCTAGAAGGATGCAGGTTTGTGTACCATTATATGCAGTTTGCACATTAGAAAGTAAAAGGAGGGGGGAGAGAAGTACCAAAACCAGTCTTGTCAAAGTTTGAAACACAGCATTAGCCCGTCTCCCACTGGCAGTATGCTTAGAGCAATCCGGGCGTCCCTCAGAATGGCTTCACTCAGCTGATGCATGGCTTGTACAGTCAAAGATTTACTGTTGAGTTTAAGAGCTGCTCCATAGCATAACACCTATCACAAAATGACAAAATAATGTTAAAAATAATGCTCAGTTTTTTTTTTTTTTTTAAGCCACTTAATTTGCATAATACGTTCATCTTTTCATGTTAAAGGTACACTTTGGGAACTAAAACAACTAAACTATTCAATATGTTTTGGCTTCTTCATAGGGCATATTTTTTACCCCCGCACATTGAAACATGGATTGTTTTTGCAAAAATAAATGTTATGCAGTGTATTGAATAATAAGCCTGCCACCTTAGCCCAGTGTTGTGAGTGTATTAGATTAAGAAAGTGCTGTTTAGTAGAGGTTACATTTTAGATTTACAGGGGGCGTGGCTTGGACGCCGACCGGGATGGAAGCTTAAGTTGCGAGCTCCGCTCCACCGGTCCCTACATCGCCCTACTAAATAGCTCCTACCAGCTCTAATGGGACGGAACCGAAGGGGTGAACCTCCCGGGACCCCCAGGGGATCCCAACCGCAGCACTCAGTGGGCCCGATGGACGAATTTATCCAAACGCCGGCAGACACACGCGGCGAGGCCAGAGGCCCCAAAATGGCGTCCACTCCCTCCGCATCCGGAGCCCCCTCTGCCTCCACACTGGATGGCATCGGGGAAGAAATCCGCACTATTGCGGCCTCCATGGCTACCAAAGACTCTGATTTGGGGGCACAAGCTGGAAATAGTGAAATGAAGACATAACCTCACCGTTCAGTAACACTTATCAAATCCCTGTGGTTTTAGGTACTGCCTCTGTCTGTTGGGGGAAACGTTAATTTTACTTATTATAAAAAAAAAAAAATTCTTTACGATTATAGGCTGTACAAGTTCCTCCTGGTGCTCTCCACCACTATACAGGATGCCCTGCGGGCTGAAATGGCCGGAATCCGGACAGAGGTGGCAGCGCAGGGCGCCCGAGTTCATGACCTGGAGTGCTCCCACGAGGCCCAAAATGCCAGACTGGCTTCGACTGACACGGCCGTAACTAGGCAGGGTGACCTGCTTTTGCAGCTCAGGAGAACGGTGGAGGACCTCGATAACCGCGGGCGCCGCTGCAACATCCGAGTACGTGGTATGCCAGAAACAAAAGGCGAGGAAGAAATTGAAACGGAGCTGACAGCCCTTTTCCACCTGATTTTGCCCGGTGATGCCCCAATGGAGATCAG